TAGGCTCCCATAACACATACTTACCAACAGCTTTGCCAGTTCCTCCGCACTCTGGAGGTCTTTGTACAGAGCAGCCCGTCCAAATTTGACATCCAGCACCAGAGCGGACAGAGACTCCGCCCCTTTCTTAGAGATGATGGAGCCTGGGGAAAACACAGCCACCTTCAGATCCCCGCACTGTAGCGATGGCCAGATGGAGCCTCATAAAGCTTTGATTGGGTCACTCGTGTCGAAGCTTCGTGGTGGTTTATTTGCTCTATTGCGCCATCAAGTGGACAATAAATGTAAACCATACAGCGTGATTATCATGAGACTGGCTTTGGTCTCTGGAGCTTTGAATGAATTAAGCAATGATGTTTGTGATGACCCCGCCTCTCCCCATTGGCTTATTCCAATTCCTATAAGGGAATAAGGGGTTATAAAGCTGGACGGATGGATGTTTGTGATGCTTATACATCAATTATAAACTTTTATATGGCGTCTGTCTTTATGATACAATGACAGGAAGCTTGAATAGATCACTAACAAGCTCGTAATTAAGTCCCAAGTCCACAAAATGTGCATTTTGCTGGCCCTTATATTTCAAATAGACCGCCAACCACTTCCTGGATCAGTCACATGGCACGCTACTGCTCAGCTTCCTGACCACTGGGACTACTGGGATCACTGGGATCACTGGGACTACTGGCCTGGGTTCTGGACCTGCGATGAGGGGGGGGCTGTCCACGGTGCTGGTGGCGTCCCGCAGGGCGTACAGGACTCGGTCTGCTGGGACCAGCGTCTCAGTCTGACCCACGATGACGCAGCCCACCGAGCCCAGGACCTCCAGGATCTGCGTTGGGAAGCAGGCGTTTAGGCCGGACACACGGGGGGGGGTGGAGGGCCGGGGGGGGGGGGGGGCACCTGTGCTGCTGGCTGCAGGATGCTGAATCCTGGAATAGATTCCAGTTTATCCAGAGTCCCTCCTGTGTGAGCCAGGCCCCGCCCACTGATCATGGGCACCTAAAGACACAGGGAAGTCAATATATGGATAATCTAGGCTTGTTCCAATCCCATATCTGGTACGAATCGGCCTCCGATATTTGCAAAAAACTGAGCATCGGCTGGCAGGAGAAAATGCAGATCCAGACTACTAGTTTAAAGCCCCAAAAAACAGTTTTAAACAGCTTTAAAAAAACACAAAAAAAGGTTTTAAATCCCCCTAAACGGCTTTAAAAGCCTCAAGACAGTTCAAAACCCCCCAAAAACGGCTTTAAAATCCCAAAAAACAGCTTTAAAATCCCCCCAAAAACAGCTTTAAAAGCTTCTAGACAAGGTGTGTCCCAATCCGATAATCAGAACGGCTTATTAAATGAGGAACATTTAAACGAAGCGAAACCAAAATATTCTGTACTCATATACCCTAATATCTGCTCCCAGGAGCATAAAAAAAGGGGTTTTGTCAATATTATTGGCACTTTCAAAGTTTTAAAAGTCATATTTGTAATTTAGTTGTTGATCTAAGTGCCGTTTATCAATAAAAAAACCTTATTTCTGGTAAAAATTCATTTAGATTTTCGAGTGAAACCACTATTTGCATGAAGAAAATAACTGAAATGATCTTTAACCTGACGGGGAACACTGTTCCTCTGATGCTAAACTCTCTGGGCGGGTTTACCTTACAGCCGCAGGCGGCCAGCGCGGGCGCCAGCACCAGGCTGACTTTGTCCCCCACCCCCCCGGTGGAGTGTTTGTCCACTATCAGCGTTTTCCACTCCTCCGGCCAGGACATCACCTCCCCCGAAAGCATCATCTCCCTGGTCAAGCTCTGGATCTCCACGCTGTCCATCCCCTTCATCCAGATGGCCATCAGCATGGCCCCTGGGAAAGAAGAGCCTCCATCAGAGGGAGAAGCCTCAGATAGTCTGGTTAAAAGTTAGAGGGTTGAGTTTTACCAATCTGACTGTCCTGCATGGTTTTAGCTGTAACAGCCTGGATGAAGACTTTGATCTCTTCATCACTCAGCTGCCCTCCGTCCCTCTTCTTCCTGATCAGGTCTGGGATGGAAGTCATGGCTGCCTGGAAGAAACTTGTGGAGAAAAAAAAGCCTCCTTAAAGAAGTGAGTCACATTTTTCTGAACATATTTAACTTCAGGAACCAAACAACATGTTTGACAACGCAGCCGAGTATAAACGTTTCCTTCTAATAACCAGACAAAGTCCACAATGTGCCCAGATAACGTACTTCAGATTAGAAACTTTGGTTTCCGTTTCCTCGTTTGTTAGCTCCGTGGCTCTGTTCCCAGTGAAAGTGAAATAGGAACAACTGAAGTGTCCTCATGACATCCCGTCAAAAACAAAGCGTCTGAATATCCAGTTGAAACTGCTTCTCTGCTGACTGGTGAAACCCCACCGTGAGTCATGGGACCGTTTGTGGGCATCTTTATAGGCCAGATCACCTGGAAAAGCTCCCAGAATGCATTTCCCAGGTGTCTCTGAGAGATGAGACTGGTCTTAGTCGGTAGATCTGAGTCTGGTCCTGATAAGCTGCTGTTGGATTGCTGATTTAACAAGGTGTGGCGATAGTTAAACACAGGCCCAGAGCTGTTCTGGGCTTTTGTCCTTTCGTTTTCTGCTCTGGAGACAGTTTTTAGTCTAGATTCCCTCCTCTGGCCTGAGGTTGTTGGCAGACAGCAGGATTTCTTCATGTGTTTTCAGTCAGTGATTCATCCTTTCCGCTAAGATCCCATCAGATTTTGGAGTTTTTCAGATTTCTGGTCGGTTTCTGGGAATTCCAGCATCTGTTGGAGAATCTGAGCTTGTTTTTCATATGTTTCTCTTCAAATGGGTGATTTGGAGATTTAGATTATTCTGTATAAAGACTGAACAACTCTTAATATCAGAGGATTCTTTGGGTTTGTGATTCCTGCTGTTCTGACTCATCAGCTGAGGAAAAGCTGAGTTTTGTAAAAGGCAAGTTTATTTTACAGCACATTTCGTGTATAAAACTATTCAAAGAGCTTTACAAGGAATTTAAAGCAGAAGAACAAAAGAAAATGAATCGACCATTTTAAAAAACTAGATGGATAAAAAGTGAAGGGTTCAGATATAATACTTTCAGTTTCCATCTGCTGAGTTAAACAGAAGCGTTTTCATCTGGATTTAAACATCCAGAGCTGGGTTCTGTCTCACATCTTCAGGAAGACTGATCCAGATTTTAGGAGCATGGAGCTGAAATGAAGCTCCACCTGGTTTAGTTCTGACTCTGGGCCCCATCAGGAGACCAGAACCTGGTTCTCAGAGTCCAGCTGGTCCATCTGCTTGTCCATGAAGAGACCAGAACACCAGCAGAGCTGATTTAGAGTCTGTTCTCTGAGAGACAGGAGGCCGGAGCAGAGACCTGAGAGCTGGACTTATAAGGTCCTACTTCCTGGTTCTGGTCTAAAGATGTTGGTTCCCACCGGGGGGCGCCACAGCGAGTCAGGAGTTTATCTCCTGAACGAGCTCCAGAAACCAGCCGGACATTCTTAGAAAGCCCAGAACCAGCTTTACCGAGTCAGCCGGAGGAAGAGCCTACCTGCTACAGCGCCGTGGTCCAAGCTGACCAGCCCTCAGCTCCCAGCTGCCCCGGGGCAAAGGGGGGGGGGGGGGGGGGGGGGAAGGGGAGGGCCAATCAGCTCACAGAGACAAGTTCAGGTTCATGTGTGCTTATCGAGGTCAGTGAGTGTGTTTGTTGATTATGTCTAAGTCACGAGGAGGTCAAAGGTCAGAAGTGTTTTTATAGTTTCATAGCTCTTTTTCTTCCCCGGACATATCCCTAAATCATCCCTCTTCTTCTTCCTGTGAGCACATTTCAAAACTCCCCACTGACAGGTGTTTCTTTATTTCTTTTTTCTGAGAGGTTCCTCATTTGTTCCTAATGTTTGGCTCCGCCTCCTGGGTTAAGCCCCGCCCACTAAAGAGCATCAGGAGCTAAAAACACACCAGACTGTTTTAAATCCAGACACACAAATGTTCTTTTAGCATAAAATACCTTCAGTTAAACACAGCTAAGATGTTTTCATCTGGATTTAAACATTCAGATCCAGATTTTAGGAGTATGAAGCAGAAATGAAGCTTCACTTTGTTTAGTTCTGACTCAGTTTTAACTCCAGACACACAAATGTTCTTTGTGTAAAGACCGAAAATCTATCTCAGGATAAAAGATTCAGTTTAAAATTGGAAATGTCTGGTTCTGGTCCGGGGTGTCCTTCTCTGTTGTGTAAAGCTTATTGATCGTGTTGTCCCTTTAATTTAGGACCTTTCATTTGAAGCCATTTGAACAGTCTTTTACTATCGGTGATCTGAGCTGAGAAGCTGTGATCTGATCAAACGTTTTATGAGGTTTCAGAGTGACTGAAGTCTTCTTTGTCTAAACAAAGTTAGAACAGAGGTTCAGAGAGAGAACCTGATTACTCTGATTACTGTCTTTTGTGTCAGTCGTTGTCTTTAGGCCGCACAACCAAAAAGAGAGCGCTGTTTTTTCCCTAATGACAGTGAATGCAGCGTTTGTCTGCTGGATGCTGTGTGTGTGTGTGGATGGAGCCAGTGGCCCAGTCACAGCCGTTTCATGAGTTTAAACCAGGTCCAGATTGTTAGAAGAGAAACATCAGAAAAAATTAATTCATGGGAGGATTGTGTGTGGGGAGTTTTACCTCCGACACCCGGGAACAGAAGAGGGTGAACACAAATAAATCACATAATTTGATGATAGTGAAACCTTTGACTCGGTCTGACCATCTTTCAAAGTCATCTTTAACTTTATTTGATGAACAGGGGGTTTAAAAGGGGAAGGAGGACACACAGAGGCAGCGTTTCCTTTGTAATAAATGACCGTTTATTAGAAAGATTACAATCTGTTCCAGAGCTCGTCTGTTGTCATCGTGGGCTCTCCGGTTTTAGAAAAGGGAAGAAAAAACTACAGTACACACACCACTCACTCCAGAAGAAACTACACACATACTGTAAAAAGAGGAAGCTAGAGAGGAAGAGGAGGAGGGTAATCATCCAATTATAACCAGGTTAGATGAATAGGATTCAGCCAATCAGCAGCAAGATGAGCTGTTGGTCAGCCATTTATTTAAAATAGTTAATAATTTATTTTTTAACTGTCCTGTGGCTGCCGTTTTCCCGCTTTCAAAGCCGAGTGAGAATGTGGATATTTGTGTTTTCTGATGATGCTTCAGCCGGTCCGTCCCCCGTGTAGCGCCCCCTGCTGTCCAGGCTCCATTTCTCCATTTAGACATTTTATCTTCTAAGCAAATGTCCTGTAACTGCTAAGGTGGACACAAAAAAAAAGGATCTTTGTGTGTCTTTGATTGAACTGGAGAGGAAAGCTATAAATAATTAACCCAGTTGGTTTTAGCTTTTAAAGATGGGAAATCATTGGTGAATTACAAATATTTGTCAGGTTTTCAGAGACTTTGTAGGATTTTAAAATGATGAATTTTCCCGTTCATTTCCAGGATGTTAAACGGTTCATGCCTTTAGGTTTAAATCTGATGTCATATGTCAGGATGTTTTTGTTTTTCTGGATGACAGGGAGCAGAACTTCAGGAAATGACATTTCCCCCCTGTTTCTGATTGGTTGAGGAGTCCTCTGAGGGGCAAATGATTTCCAGGTGAGGTGTTGTTTGGGGTTCCCAGCTGGTTGATGGTTCCAGTCTGTAAATGAGCACTGAGAAACCCACTCAGAGTAAACAGATTCAGGGTGCAGGTCCTTTTCTTTGGGCTGGTTCTGTTGGTTAGAGCTCAGATAGAAGCCCGAACAGACGAAACTTAATGAGGTTTTATTGGTTTGCTGACTATTAATTAAAATTACCTGAAGATATTGAAAGTAAAACTTGGTCAGATTTGATAGCGGGTGCATGTGTGGGTGTGTTGTTGGACTTATTGCTGCTGGCTTTGCCAAAGATGAGTCTTGTGAAGTCTTTTTATGCAGGTTAAATGTAGTTTTGCTAACATTTAAAAAGAGATGATGTCCGTTGATTATCTGAGCAATATAATTGGGAGGATTCTGGATTTTCTCTCCGTCTGTGGTTGAAAAGGTCTCCGGTTTTCTTGATCAAATCCAATCGGTTTCTAACAGAAACTCAGTTGTTCCCTTCTTCTCTGTACAAACCTGGTGGATCTGAGCAGAACACGAGGGCTGAACAAAGGAGCTGATGTTGGTTTTACGTTGTCAGTTACTTTAGGGAAGATGGTTTCAAACCCTAACTGCCTTTGAGAGCGTTCTCCATCAGGCTGAGGGAGCAGGGAGGTGGCTGAGTGTTTCCCTCCAGCTCAGAGCAGCCGTTAAAGTCTGAATATCAGCTGGTCTCCAGAACTTCCTCCAGGGGAGAGAAATCCTCTAAAGTGGAGGGAGGGAAGCAAACAACTCGGTTCTGAAGCTAAACTAATCTTAGCTGAAACCAGGGTGTCATGTCATGAGATGAAACTGGCTTTAGAGTCCCTGTTTCAAAAAGAAAGAGATTTTAAATTATTTTAAGTTTTAACAGTAGTTTACTGGCCTTGTTGACACTGTGGGGGTTGTAGTTCTACTTTAATGGGGCTGAGTTTTTTAATTCAGGACTTTGGTAAAGTCCTGATCCAGCTGTGTTCTCTGCATATAATCCTGAATCTCGGGGAACATGTTTGAACCTGCAGCAGAACCAGAGTCAGAGTGGTTCTGTAGCTTAAAGTTTCCCCTCTGAGCTCCTTCCTCCTCCATCCTGAAGCCTCTCCACAGCTCCTCTCTTTAAGGAGTCTCCAGGAGACTTGCTCCTCTTTCTGAAGGACCTCACTTTTGGATCCTATTCTTCTGCTGGATTACAGAGTTTTTCTTCTTCTTCTTCTGTCCTCCTCTGGTCCAGTTTTCTCACATGTTTTCAGGACTCTGCTCACCAGCTGAGATCTGCCCAGTTTCCAGCTAGTAGCTCTTTAGGAATCATCAGAAATTCTGTTTCCTGTAAGTCAGACTGCGTTTTCTTTGGCCTTTTTCCTGAAATGGAGCAGATGATTTGTCTCTATGATCCCAAAGATCCACTTTAAACTGCAGACGCTGGCTCAGCCCTTGAGTTATGGCCCCTTTTTTCCTTGTATAATTCATTGGCTGCCAGGTGGTTAAATATTCCTTAAAAAAAAGCTGGATCAGGACTTTTAGAGATGACTTTGACTCCAGTGTTGTGCACTGATTCACTTGGACTCAGACCTTCAAACGCTGAGCTGCTGGACTTCATGAAGCTCGGTCAGAAACTGGACTTTGGAATCTTTTTTCAAAGATTTTTTAAAATCTGGACACAGCTTTAGACCTGGTGAAGGAGGCACTCTTGGAGCGCTTTTGTTTAATGGTGTCAACAGCAGAATTGAAAACTCTTACAAATATATTAAACATTAATCTGCCTCTAACTACACTGTTGTTATAAACCATTTATTACATGTTTCTATTCTTTATGATTCTGTAAAAATACACAACTTATCCAGCTGTTCAAGAATAGTTCTGCTCTGATGGTTGGCTAATGGTCTCACCCGGACCTCAGTGAGTAATGTCAGTGGTTCTGGTGGTAGAAAAGTTCTGTCTGTGTTTGTGCTTGGGCTCATAAAATAGCAGCATCCCTTCTCTTCTTCACAATATAAAATTCTCTTTACCAAATTACATAATTAGTTTTGATTTGGTTTGTAAATCTTTGAATTTCACACTTCAAAGTGAGACTGAATGCAATCAGGCAACTTTGTTTTGAAATTTATGATGGGAGTAAACTCCTCTTATGGCGGGGAAGAAAATCCCTTTTATGGCGGGGAGAACACTCCATATATGGCCTGTTCCTGTGAGACGTTCAGGGCGTCATAGCCACGTTGGACCGAGGGGCTTCAGGGGGCTGGTGGGTGGCGTTGGGATGGGGGGGGAGGGAGGGGGAGTTATTGTCTGTACAGATGGCTTTAAACAGATAGCACCATGTACAGTAAGCCCTCAATAAGCAGTTAAAACCAGAGAGGTTGGAGCTCTGCCGCAGCTCTCCCTGAAACACACAGCACATCAGCACAAATCACACTCATCGACAAATCATCATGAATTCCAAAACTTCCCCAAACCACCTGGAAATTCAACTCATTGTCAAATCATAGGAACTCAAAGTTTTCTTCCAGACGATTATAAGCTCTGTAAGTCATCACCACCACGTTATTATTACTTGTTATTCATAAATTCTAAATGATCCGCGTTAACATATGAATTAATGTCAGAATTAACACAAAATCTTCATGAGTTATATTTGAAAAAAGAAAAAAAAAAACTAAGTCACAAGAAGTTTCTGAGCAGAGGAAACTAAGCTGTTATAGGTGGAGTCCTGACACCGGCCATTCGTCAGCTGGACTCCTCTGGGGAAGCAGAATGGCTCAAAGCGTCTTTAGAGTAAATCAGCTCTTTGATCAGGGGTTTTTCTGGTGCCGTGACCTTAAACTGCCTGTTTTAAAGTATCAAAATCCTTTTATTGCATTTCCTCTGACAGCTTACTCAGCTAATGTCATCAGTGTTTGGAAACCGAGCTCCCTCACAGCGTTAAATCAAGATGGAGATTAGTTTTAGTCTGAATTTCCTCACTGGTCACCAATCGCTGGAGTTTAAACGTTTAAAGCATTTTAAATTGAATTACGTTTCTCCCTGAATGAGTTTCTGAGCTTGCTGGCACGTGTTTTCATTTGGTTATTTAGAGAGGATGGTTTGTGTTTGCCTTACGTTTGAGTTTCCTCCACAGCTGGAGATCAGCTTTGCTCTGATTGGTCGGCTGCACAGGCCTGATCAGGCCCTCATTGGCTCTACAGATACTGGCTTTTCTTCATCTTTTTTTGCCTCTGAACGCTTATTCAGAGCATTTGTATATAACATTACAAAATATTTTTTGCTCATTTGTCCTTATTTTGAGTTTTAGAGATTTGTATATTTTAGCTTTTTTAAATGCATTTCTCTTCACTCTTTTGTGATTGAATTGGTCTGTCTGGACCAGCTGTCTGAGTAACCTCTAGCTGAGTTAACGGCATGTTTCCAGCTTCTCTTCACTCTGCTTTGAGCTGTTTGAGGCCTTACACTTCATTTTCTTCTTGTTCTAGTCACAATATTGATTGTTTAAATGTGTTGCAAGTTATGATGGAAGATAAAGGTGGTTTGGCTCTGTTTCTGACAGAATTGATGTCGGTTTCCGCTTTATTGAAATAATATTTGATCTGTTTTTCTCGTTATCTAATCTAAACTAAACTCTTGTGAGTTTCTGGATGTTCTTTATATATTCATGGTCTGATTGTCAGCCATGGCTTCCCCTGGCTCTGGGCTAACTGGGAGTTAGCGTTTAAATGACAGAAGCTGGTCGTTTGTTGTGGATCAAAGAGCTGACGGGCCACAGAGCCTGGAGGTCTCTCAGAGAGCCGGGCTAAAGCTTCGGTCACTACTTGGATATTCTACGGGAGCTGGCCTGTCGTCTGAGGAGAGGTCGGGCGTTATGAGGTCACTGTTCGGGATGCCTAGAGGTGGAGGGTCAGAGGCCGGAGGTCAAGTGGAGCCGTCCAGCAGCTGTCTGAGGGCCCTCTCGATGTTGATCCGGTGGCCCAGTCTGGTGACCCCCAGCTCCACGTAGTCCTCCTTGGTGAGGGCGGGCAGGTGGGAGCCCTCGATCTCGTGCTCCTGGAAGCGCTGGCGGTGCTCGGCCAGGCCCATGCTCTCCAGCCAGTCCCCCACGTCGTACTTGTTCCACAGGTTGAGGGGCCGCTGCCTCCAGGGCCGCAGGGCCAGCAGGGGCCCGCTGAGCACCGGCGAGGGGCAGGGGGAGGCGTGGGGGGAGGGCGAGGGCGAGCGGGAGCGGGTCCGCGCGCTGGCGCTCCGCATCACGAAGCGCACCTCCTTGGGCTCCGACGGGAGGCTGAGGCTGGACGACTTCAGGATGGTCAGGCCTCGGCCCGAGCTCAGGTCGGGCCTCTCGGAGGTGGGGGCGGGGCCCGCCGGCCGGTCGGAGGGGGAGGGGGAAGGGGAGGGGCTTCTGCGGGTGACCGGGTAGCGGCTTCCTGGTCGGACTGTGTAACTGGCGCCGAATCCCCGCTGGGAGATGGTGTGGAGCTCCCCCAGGCTGGAGAACAACCTGCAGACCAGCAGAGGCCACATCGGATTAGGCTGGTCCCGATCCCATATCTGAATCGGATCAATGGCAGGAGAAAATGCCGATCCAGATCCAGTTTTTTAAAAGTCCGATCCCACACTAGCATTAGCATTAGCATTTCCTAACCCACAGGTCTGTGTCCTAACCATTAAGTTGTTATCAGAGTAAATCCCTGTCCAACATGAGTCTGACAACTAAGCAAGTAGATAAATAACTTTATACTTTAATATAGGCTCTGATAGGCCGGGATCGGAAGTGAAAAAAGCTGGATCGGGACATCCCTACATTGGTTATCCAGTATTAACCTCACTGCCTCCTGCCAAGCTCCTCCTTCTCCCCTCAGAGCGGAAACCACTCTGGGTTTTCTGACATGATCCCAAAGACCCCCAAACAGTTTCCCTCCATCCAGAGCAGTGTGAAGCTTGACAGGCTGCTGTGATTGGTTACTGAGTGGTTAGGAGCAACAGCTGAGGAGTAAGTGCTTGTTTTATTTTGAATAGAAATATAATAGAAGGCTGTTAAGAATTAGTGTGAGAGTAGCTGAGCATCATTAGGAGTTAGTGGTCTCTTGGCGATAATGAGAAATGTTTACCAGAGATATAAACCTAGGCCTCACTCTCTCCACATCTGGAACAACACAAGCGACAGACTGTTACCAAACACACACTCAAACACTCCCGGAGCCTCGGCGGCGCCCGGCTCTCCGCCGTACCTGGCTCCGCCCACCGGGGACCTGCGGCCCGGGTCCAGGGGGCTGGGCTCCTCCCCCAGGGAGTGGCTGTCCTTGTTGAGCAGCTGGAGCCGGTTGGCCAGCTCCAGGCCTGACCCCGCCCGCCCGCTCAGGTCCAGGCCTGACCCCGCCCGCCCGCTCAGGTCCAGGCCTGACCCCGCCCGCCCGCTCAGCTCCAGGGCGGACGCCGAGCGCCCGCTGAGGTCCGCCGCCGACCCGGAGCCCTGCCCCCCCAACGCCGCCGGCCGGCCCCCGTCCTCGGGGCCGAAGCCCCTCCGCTCGTCGTCCCCGCCCCCCCACAGCTTGGAGCGCCTCTGGAACAGGTAGCGGGGCTGGCGGCTGCTGCCGGCGGTGGGGGAGGAGCAGAGGGGGGAGGAGGGGGAGGAGCAGGAGGCGGCGGAGGGGAGCAGCTCGCTGTCGGAGGACTGCTTCAGCAGCGGGTCCCGCAGGGCCGAGCGCCCGCGGCCAATGGGAGAGCGGAGGCGGGGCTTCAGGGCTGAGGGCGAGGTGGCCGCTGAGGAGGGGGACTGGTGAGTGGCCGGGGGGGAGGAGGGGGAGGTGGGCACCGGGGGGGAGGCCAGGGTGATGGATGGGGGGAGGGAGCTGGGGGAGGAGGAGCTGTCCGGGGCTCCTTCTTCTTCTTCTCCTCTTCTACCCAGAGAGTCGGGGCCGCTCTCTCCTCCCCCCTCTCCCCCTCGCCGTGGCAACAGAGTGAGGGAGGAGGGGGGAGGAGGGGCGGGGGGGCTGGCAAACGCAGGGGGGGGGGACACCAGGCCGATGCGGCGCAGCTCCTCCCGGGTCTCCTCATCACTGGAGGACAGCAGGGCGGGGGGCAGGGTGACGGTGTAAGCCCCGCCCTCCTCCTCAGAGCTGCCCACCGTGAGGCTCCTGCGCCTGTCAATCAAAGCCGAGTGGTTCTCGTTGACCAATGGGGGCAGAGCCGAGGGCCTCCACCTCTCCGGGGAGGGCCCGGCGGGCGAGGTCACCCCCCCCTCGGTCTCGGGGCGCTCCACCTGCCCGTCGGGGAACAGCGGGGGGGTGATGCGTTTGTGACGCAGCTCGGGGCTGGTTTGGGGAGTGGTGCGCTTGGTTCGTTGCTCCGGGCTGGTCTGAGGGGTGGTGCGTTTGGAGCGAGGCTCGGGGCTGCTCTGCGGGGTGGTGATAGGCGTGCGCTTGTGGCGTCCCTCTGGGCTGGCGGCCGGGGTGGGAATGGGGGTGGTGCAAGCAGAGGCGTGCTTAGTTCGAGGCTCGGGGCTCGGCGTGCGAGCGGTGAGCGCTCGTTCTCGGGCAGCCAGAGCCAGGGCGAGCGGGGACGAGGGATCTGAGGACAGAAAACAAGGTGAGGAGTCTTTATCAGCCAAGAACCGATACACTGATCCTCTAGATTTATTTTCACTGATGCGTTTTACTTGAATTCATTTGAATTTAGCTGTAAAACTCAGCTGAACAATGCTGGTGGTGAGCTTTAGGGATTAGGAAAACTCCTGGAAAACTATGAATACTGAGTCAAAACTTGTCTTTTCAATATCGGCCTGAAGACGAGCAGTTCAGTGGAAGATGGAGGCAAGTTCTAGGAAAATTAGTGTTGAGTTAAATTCATGCCCCGCCCATCTCTGACTGAGTTTAGGTGAAGATAATTATGTTGTTAGTTGGGAGATGCACAGTGAGTTTGAATGTGGAAAGATTATAGATTGACTTGTGGTACAGATTGGAATGTTTATTGGTTTCTATGTGTTTATGTTTAAAGGTTTTTCACCTGCTGTTACCACTATTCCTAATATTGTTGATTCAACAGACTTTTATATAAAAGAGGAAAATGAAAGAAAAGAAACGAGTGAAATCCTGTGGACTTCCTTTTCAAGTGGGGGAAACCTGCAGGTCAATCCCAAACAAAAAAATGGGAGTGATTTGATCCTGTTTGTGGCGTCAGACTGACCCAGAGGTTTCCCGGTCAGGGGGTGGAGGAAGGTGTGGGGCGTTGGTGAGGGCGATAGGACTGGAGCGGGGGGGGGGCAGCTCGCCCAGGTCGTCCATGGAGTGGCTCTGAGTCAGGAGGGGTGGCACCTGGTTTTCTGACCCCGCCCCCTCCACAGACAGGAAGAGGGAGGAGCGGCGGCCCTGAACCCGGGCCCGCTCCGACAGAACCTGCTGCTGGTACAGCTCCGCCCGGCTGGGGCCCACATCCAACCTGGACGGATCGTGGTCTTTCATTCCCAAACCTGGAAGGACAGAAAGTAGACTGAGTGATGGGACATCATCTTCTAGGGACGTCCCGATCCAGCTATTTGCTCCTCCGATCCGATCCCGGCCTATCAGAGCATGTATTAAAGTCTAAAGTTATTTATCTACTTACTAAGTTGTCAGACTCATGTTGAACAGGGATTTACTCTGATAACAACTTAATGGTTAGGACACAGACCTGTGGGTTACAGATGCTAATGCTAATGTTAATGTGGGATCGGACTTAAAAAAAAAACTGGATCTGCATTTTCTCCTGCTGGCCGATACGCAGTTTTTTGCAAATATCGGCAGCCGATCCGATCCAGATATCTGATCGAGACAAACCTATCATCTTCTACCCTTCTATGCAGACACCTTTAACCTCTTTAACTCTCTTAATGAAAGTCTAGCATGTGCCCATTTCCTCATAAACTAATAGTTAGCTTTTCCCCACAGCATCTATGAGGGCGGGTTTCTGTTGCTCTCCTGGTCCTGAGCGGCCGGTGTGTGGTCAGACAGGTGACGGTGCTAACCCTGCTCCTCTACAGGAAGTTGCTTCAGCAGCGGCGACTTCCTCCTCTGGGGCTTGGTGGGCGGGGCCTGCTGTCCCACGTTAGCGTAGGGGTTTTCTATCGGGCGGCCCCTGCGGCGGGACAGCGGCGAGTGTCCGAGGGCGGGGCTGGTGCTGTGGAGGGACAGCGTGGAGGTGTGTGTGGCGGTGTGCAGCGTGTGTGTGGCGGTGTGTGTGGCGGTGTGTGTGGCGGTGTGGGCCTCGGCGGGCTGGAGGGGCGTGGCCGTGTCCTGCAGGATGATCATGGACCTGGCCTTCCTCTGCCTCTCGGCGTGGGCGTGGCTTCTGGCCGGGGAGTCGGACAGCTCCTGCAGCCGAGGCTCCGCCCCCGGCTTGAAGCTGGAGCGGGTCAAGCCCTCCCCCCGCGCCGGGGGAGGAGGGGGGAGGAAGGAGGGAGGGGGGCCCGAGTCCAGGAGGAAGAGCGGGGAGGTGGAGGCGGAGGGGGGAGGGGGCGGGGCCGTCTGGGGAGGGGGGGGGGATGAAGCTGTCCGTTAGCGAGGAGCTGCGTGGGAAGCGGCTCTCGTTGATCAGGGCCGTTATCCTGTCGTCCTCCGGTGTGCCTGCCGGGGTAACCATGGAGACGGGGAATGGTTAGACCGGACCTGGACCCCAGAGTCTCTCACAACAAACAACAAACTGAGCTTTGAGAGCGGCGGCCATGTGACCAAAGCCTGTCAGGTTAGCTCAGAAAACTGTAGCACATTTCTGAAAAGTTTCAGATAGTTTGTATGTTTGTTTCCTGGAGAGTCTCACCAAAGCTCTTGGTTCTGGACATCCCTCGGGGTAAAGCCATGGTGCTCTTCTCTGGAGCCGAGGGGGGAACCAGGCCCTGCCGCTCAAACAGCGACTACAGAGGCAGAAAACAAACCTGTTTGCTCTTTCCCCTACACACACTCACACACACACCGGTGAACTAGTGTGTGACCGTACGTTGATCTCGGCCTGAGTGATGCGCCGGCTGGTCGGCCTCTGTTTGACCGTTGCTGCCCTGAAGTCGTCTGATGGGCGGCCCCTCAGAACCACTTCCTGCTGACCACCGGCCAGCATCTCATCCAGTTTCTCTGTTGGGAAAAATGCAGAGGACCATCAACTAGGGACGTCCCCATCCAGCTTTTTGGTCTTCTGATCCGATCCCGGCCTATCAGAGCATGTACTAAAGTTTAAAGTTATTTATCTACTTACTTAGTTGTCAGACTCATGTTGAACAGGGATTTACTCTGATAACAACTTAATGGTTAGGACACAGACCTGTGGGTTACAGATGCTAATGCTAATGCTAAAGGCTGTGTTGGAAAATGGCCAGACCAGTTTAAAAAAAAAAAAAAAAAAACTGGATCTGCATTCTCTCCTGCCGGCCGATACGCATTTTTTTGCGAATATCGGCAGCCGCTTTGATCCAGATATCGGATCAGGACGAGCCTACCATCAACAGACTGTACAACAACAAATACACACGACCACGACAACACGTCACAACATCTGTCATCAGGGCCGCGGCCGGAAATGCTGATCAAAACAAAGCCGAACCAATAAGTGCTGCTTAGTTTGTCCTATTAAGTTGTTGTTTACTCTGTTTGAGTGGATGTGATTTCAAATGCTTGCTTTGTAAATGTTTTTTCTCATTAAGACGAATGTGTTGCAGGTGTCATCCATGAAGCAGAAGATGAACCGGATTCAGATTTACCAGATTCAAATCAGGTAAACTTACACCGTTCATGTTTCTGACTTTTTAATTTAAGATTGTCCACAAGAGACAAGCATTCCACTCTTAGCTCTTTGTTGGCCCTCATTACTATCCTCCTCTTTTGAAGGACAACCCTCTTTATGCAGGTAGGATGTGCTTCTGTTGGATCTTTAGAGCTTCTTGGTCCTCGTTTTAGTGATGTCCGATCCTTTTTCGCCTTAAACCTCAGTATCTACAGAGGCAGTCTTTGTTTTCTAGCATTAAATACAGCGATTTTCATGATAAAGAGGATGTACAAAGGGTTATAGGTTGATTTTTACTGAAACACAGTGAATGGTGTGACTCATATTTTGGGCAGATACGGCCCTCTGTGGGCGTATTGGAACCATCATGTTCAGTTAGGTGGAGCTTAGATGAGCCAAAATACCTGGTTAGCTCCTAATTTTATTTCATACTTAAATAACAGTGTGTAGGACGCCAGACTTTAACTTCAACAAATCTGTTGAAGGAGAAATTTTTTTTTTTTTTTTAGCTCCATCACTGTCATTTGCTTATACTGTGAGTTTAAATCAGTCTTTTTATTCAGTCTCTAATTCTATTTATTGCGTTGCAACATAGGAGTTTCCTGAATGAAACTGAGTAGTTTATCTGGTGGATGATGCGTGTGATGTGGTTATTTCAGCAAACTTGTAAATACATTTATTAAATGTACTTGAATGCATCGGGTAGTATCAGGAATAGATGTTGCTGTTGTTGGTTCTTTAGCTTTGTTTGAATTATTAAAGACAGAAAATTGTTCTAGTTTGTCATCTGACTTTAAGGAATAATTTATTATGTATTAGAATTCAGTTTGAAGAATTAATCTAAGTTGAGAGCGATGAGAACGGATCAAAACTGGCATCCTAGTGACCATGAAAGCGTAGAAAATACGGGCAGCTAGTATAAAATATAGAAAACTCTATTCATGTTTCAACATTTGTCAGGTTTTAATGCTGAAGGTGAGTTTCAGACCCTGTGAATGAATGAGAAATGATTCATTTAAACGTATTTACTGTCAGAAAGAAAACATCAGAGTAACATTTCTCCGCCTGCGGCCCTTAAACGCCACAACGATGATGCAACATCAAGAGTTTTTCCACCATGAGTTCAAACGAGTTGAAATCTTTATTGTTTTAGGGGAAAACCTGCAGCTTTAGAGGCTCTGGAGGAGGCCTGAGATCCAAACTGAGCTCAGGAGCATCACTTTGATCCCGCTCGTTAAATGTTTGTTCCAGATGATCTGAACTGGTGGAAACACGGAGACAACACGACACAGAATAACCCAGGTCATGTGACTCACCATAGCGTCTCCTCCTGGCTGCAGACAGAGCAGAGGTCAGCAACACACACTGCAGCTGTGTGTGTGTCTGTGTGTGTGTGTGTGTGTGTGCGTGCGTTAGGGTTGTCAAAAGTATTGATACTAACACGTTGTATCCAGATACGATACTCATTTTCAAAACTGTCGATACCACCATAAACAACGTAAATAAATAAATAAATCAGGCACCTAGTGTTCCCATATTACGTTAATTGACGCAGTGTCAGTTTACATAAGCATAGAGTTTATAGGTTTACATAAGTGTTATTTTCTCTCTTGAAGTCACAGAATGATGCAGAGAGGAGTAGACCTGCGTCCAAACACAGCCAACTCCATCTATGTTTGACCAACAACGGAAATATGAAGCCAAGTCCCCAGAAGCTATGAAAAAACAGACTTATTAAGCAGCTAAACCCAAGGTATGCTCTTCACTTTGGGAGGGAGCTTCATATTGTGCACAGCATACAGCCTCAAAATATTGTTATTGTTTATTGTATTTATTTATTTAATATATTTTATTTATTAATGAAAAATCTTGGGGTCTTTGTTTTTATCCTTGTGGTATCGAAGATGGTATTGAATATCGAATATTTTCCTGAGTATCGGTATCGAGTTTAACCTTTTGGTATTGTGATAACCCTAGTGTGTGTGCGTGTGTGCGTGTTACCTATGTCCTCCAGGTCAGCTGTCATGGACTTGGATCGGAGCGTCAGCGATGTACTGGGGGCTCGTTTTGGAGGGGGCGGAGCTAAGAGGTGAGAATCTGAATTAGTATTTTGCTTAAAAAAAAAAAAAAAAAAGAACAGGACAGTCTGTAGGAATTATTAAAGAGGATCTGTATATCCAGGGGTAGCCTTAAAAATGAGTGAGAGCTCCTTGGTGATTGGTTCTCTGCTACTGATAAGAGTTTAATCAGCTCCAGTACTCACACTGGAGTTGCCTTAATAAAAGACTTAAACCACCCAAAAAGAAAAGATAGCTGACAGAAACTGTTCTTTCTCTTCTGAAGGACACAAAGGAAGCGTTAAAGCTCCTCGGCCTGGTATTTACAGAGGTTGTTCAGCTTGTACCAGAGAGGCAAAAGAGATTCAGCAGGCTTCCATCTGTCACTCTTTAGGTTTTATATTTCTATTTTGAATCACCCCAGATGGTATTTATTACTATACATTACTCCCCAGTGAGCCAGAGTACTGTAATAGTATTTAAAGGAAAAGATATAAACTTTTTAGCAGATTTTAAATAACAAATCGGATCAGTTTGTGCTACAAATAAAACTTTGCCGGTTGTTTTAATTGCTCGAAGTCTGGGTGACCAGTGAGGGCCGGCGCACCTTTCTTTCTGATCAGGTTGGATTCAGACTTTCTGGAAACTGAGACGACTTTCATCAGCAGGCGGCTTCCTCCCTGTCGGATCAGAGACACCACCTGCCGGTGGCCCACCTTCACCACATCGCTCCCGTTCACCTGAGGAGCAAAAGCATCCTGTTAGAGCGGCTGGCTGTGAGACGCATGCTCACAGTACAGGAGGTGGGTGTGTCCTCTCCTCTGATTGGCTTTTGTTTGCATCAGATCAGGGTTCGAAATCCGTGGGAATCTGGTATTAGCCAGCAGGATTAACAACTCTGACCAAAAGCAGCCCGATAGGAATCATTTTCAAACCCGTCCTTCCCCACGGTGCTGACCCAAACTAACCATATCCAGCCCAAAAGGGACCTAAACCGTTCCAACACTGGTCCAAATTGACCCGAACTAACCCAAAATGGACCCAAACTTACCCAAAATAGGCCAAAATATAACATGGCGGGACGGTGAATTTCAAACTAAACAAATTTGTTTCTCTTGTTTTGTTGATTTCCTCTTAATTTTGCATGTATTTGAGATAAAAAAAAAACTTAATTTGCCAACCCGTCCTACCCCACAGAGAAATAACTTTTGATTTTCTCATGTCCGGACAATAAAGCTCAGAAAATAGTCCATCGGTCATTTCGAGCCCTGATCAGATTGATCATTTTCAAACGCAGTAGTTCCTTAACTCCTAACCTGGGTGTGAGAAGCCACTTTTAGTTAGGCAGATCATCCTCAACATTTACCTTCAAATGTTTATCTTACAGAAGCAGAGAGCAGTCATTTCCTTAATAGGGTTACCTCTATGAGGAAGTCCCCGGTCCGAAGCCCTGCCCTCCAGGCCACGCCCCCCTGATCCACCGACTCCAGGTACTGCAGAGCAGGAAACGCCGGTGTGGGGGCAAACTCCTCGATGGGGGTCTCAGCTGAGGCAAAACAGAGGGGAGAACACAGGTGAGTCAAACCAGCTTCTATCAAGTCTTTACCTGTGAAGCTCAGATGTGTAAACCTTAACCTGCAGTTAGCTACTCTAACCAGTACACGCTGTGTGGAAGCCATTTTCCCACACTAAAGCTACAGTTTTCATCACCTATGTTAGCTCACCGGGGTGTCTAAAGTAAAGTTTAGAGTAAAATACAATGCCTTCTGACTCCCTGCTTAAGGACAGTTTTGAGAATTATTTGTAATTATGTCAGTCCATCATGATATCAGTTACTGTTTGTTCCAGATGTCACTGGGTGGTTCACCTGGGTTTGTGGATATGGGGGATATGCTAATTAATGCCCACAGTCAATAATAGTTCTACTTCTTTTAAGAAGTGGAGTAACAGAAGTGGAGTAACATATTTTGTTGTCTGTACTGTAAACATGGACGAAAGGAGAAGTAGAACTATTATTGACTGTGGGCATTAATTAGCATATCCCCCATATCCACAAAACTCAGCTGAGTGTCATTATCTGGAACAAACAGTAACTGATATCATGATGGACAGACATAATTACAAATAACTGTCCTTAAGCAGGAAAACTATCTGACAGCTTCTATTGTCTCAAACTCCAGGCGAGGGCTGGCAGAGGACCCTCCTGGTGTGTCTGGTTCTGGGGTCACAGAGGAGTCTGAAGACCAGGTTCTGGACACGGTAAGTCAGACTTTATCTCTCTGATTTAGTCCCTTCCACAGTTGTGAGGCTGCTGGTCACCAGCTCGCCTTCAGTCTGTGGGAAGCAGAGCTGCCACGTGTGGGAGTTTTCTCTCTCTGTTCTAAATATCTCTCCTCATTTCTTCCTCCAAACACCCACCGCTCTTCCATCCCTACCTTTAGCTCCTCTGAGGACGAAGCCGAAGCCTTCGCTCTCCCTCTTCTGCAGGACGGCCGTCTTCTCCTCGATCACGTAGTCGCTGCAACAGAGAAGAGCTGCACCTGTAAATCTGCCTTCTGACAATAAACCCTGTTCAAATTAACGTGTTTTCTGCTCTATTAGGCGCATAGAGTAGAAGCTCCAGTAGAGGCTGGGGCTGCGTTAGCATCCACCAGATGCAGCTACGCTAAAGGGAACGTCAACTAAACAGTCAGACTTTAACACAAACCAGAGTTCTGACGACTCTGTTCACTCATAAAATGAATAAACAGCTGTTTTAAAAAATTTTCCCGAGGTAACGTCCTCCATTCAGTAAATAACAGAAACAGTCTGATACGTTACAGTAAATCAGACGTTAGCGCATCACAATATACAGCAGCTAACATAAAGCTGACCGGCTTTTCTCCTAAAAAACAACCAAAACCACTATAGAAATATTTGAACTGCCTGTTGTACGTTTACCTTAAATGTCCACTTTTTTTAACAGCTACTTTCTCTCACTGCGTCCACTTTTAAAATGGGGACTAACAGATATGTACGTTGTGCAGTACTGCGGATCCCCAGAAGGGGGCGCCTCTACGCCGTACACTACTTCTTCTACGGGAGAAATGGCGTAGAGCCCCGTTGTGACTCAATCCTGATCCATATATAAGGCACACTGTCGGTTTTTGAGAATATTCAAGGCTTTTAGGTGCCTTATATTCCGGAGAATACGGTAATCCAATGGAAACGGCGGCCTTACCTGTAGGAGGTGTAGTTGTCGTAGGACCCCACGGTGTAGTGTCTGAACAGCCTCTTGGTGCGGTCCTCCCGGGTCTCTGAAACGCCACGTGAGATGGTCAACCACATGTCCAGCTCTGGTCACATGACCGGCGGCGGGATCGGCGTCCTTACCCAGTCGGGGGTCGTATTGCCTCATCTGGACTTCCTCCACGCAGTCGGCAGGAAACCAGCCGGTTCTGCCCTTAACGGTTCCCTCCCAGAACCCGCCCTCACCTATGGACAGCACTGCACACACACACACACACCGTCAGAG